GGCAGAGCCGGGGCTGTGTGAGGGCAGAGCCGGGGCTGTGTGAGGGCAGTGCCGGGGCTGTGCGAGAGCAGTACCGGGGCTGTGCGGGGACAGGGCCGGGGCTGTGTGAGGGCAGTGCCGGGGCTGTATGAGGGCAGTGCCGGGGCTGTGTGAGGGCAGAGCCGGGGCTGTGTGAGGGCAGTGCCGGGGCTGTGCCGGGGCTGTGTGAGGGCAGTGCCGGGGCTGTGCCGGGGCTGTGTGAGGGCAGTACCGGGGTGTAAGAGACGGTCCGAAGATTCTCCCATCTGTCTCACGACCGCCACAAGGAAAGACCCTGAACATCACAAGGGACTCGGTACAGGGGCTCTGGCCTGGTTGAGGTGGATGTTTGCCAAGTGATCGTTTGCAGTTCTGCTCGCTGTGCTACCACGGTACACTGCCCTCATTTCTGCTGGTGAGCAGAGACTTGTACCCCACTGAGCAATGGGTTTCATCACAGTGATCATCAATCTCCTCTGGTTTTGGCCTTGTGCCCCTCACTTTGTAAAACACTATAAAATACACCCCAAAACTTACTTTCATTTGAGATCTCCCCAATGGACAGAAGACTGTGCCTCTGGACGGCTGAGTGGACTTTGATGTTGGTAGCTATAATCCCCCTTATTCTCTTTTTCTTATGCTTTGCTTTCTCCTCTTTTCCCTCTATCACATATTAGTGCTGATGAGCACTCAATGAAGTGTGTTTTGCTGTTTAAGTCCCTGGTTTGCTGATAATCTTTTGTACTCTAAGATCGAATAAAAGAACCACATCATGAATCCCACCTTGTGGATCGTGACATGGGGCTGTGCCGGGGCACAAACCCAGGGTCACGGAGCTGCTCCTGCAGCCGGGCTGGGAGAGCTGGGGGTGCTCAGCTGGAGAGGAGAAGCTGCAGGGAGAGCTCAGAGCCCCTTGCAGGGCCTGAAGGAGCTCCAGGAGAGCTGGAGAGGGACTGGGGCCAAGGGCTGCAGGGCCAGGAGCCAGGGAATGGCTCCCAGAGTAGGATTAGATGGGATCTTGGGCAGGAATTGTTCCCTGGCAGGGTGGGCAGGGGCTGGGATGGAATTGCCAGAGCAGCTGGGGCTGCCCCTGGATCCCTGGCAGTGCCCAAGGCCAGGCTGGACACTGGGAGCAGCTGGCACAGTGAAAGATGTCCCTGCCCAACCAAGGTTGCTTTAAGGTCTCTCCTACCCAAATCATTCCATGATTCTTTGATTGTCTGTGAAGGGAGAAATTTCTCTTTAGCCACAGCTTGTCCATTTCTCCAATGTTCAGTTGAATGTTGCAGTGAACATTAAACGTGGTGTGAGTGTTACAGCCCCTGAATTGGGCTCAGCTCCTATTTTTGCCAGCCACAAGTTCTGATCACAAGATTAACGAGCTAATCTTTTTTTGTTTCATGTTTTCCATGGGCTTGCCCGGCTGCTGGCTTGGAGAGGTAAAGTCAGGTGCTCACCTTTCACTTCCCACCCCCTCCAACACAAACTCCTCAGTGGGCAGAGCAATATTTTCAGAGAGGAGGATTTGAAACTCTGGTGGGTGAAGGTCTGTGCCCTCAACATCCTGCTTGTTATAAACAGGACAGGCTTTGCTTCTTAGGGAGAACACAGATTTTAGGATAGAAATGTTCCTGGATAAAAATGTTTCTGGATAAAAATGTTCCTGGCTGCTGCTGCCTCTTGTGCCATGGGGTGCTGCACGTACTCTGAGCATGCCTGCTATCTCAGGGTCCCAGAATCCCGGGGTCCCAGGGTGGGTGAGGTTGGGAAGGACCACAGTGGTCACCTGGTGCCAGCTCCCTGCTCCAGCAGGGCCATCCCAGAGCTCAGGGCACAGGGCTGTGTCCAGGTGCCTCTGGAATATCCCCAGGAGGAGACTCCAGCCCCTCTCTGGGCACTGCCCAGGGCACAAGTTGTGCTCCTGTGCAGGGGGAATTGCTGGGCTCAGCCCCTGCCCGTGGCTCTGGTGCCATTGCTGGGCCTGGAGCAGAGCCTGGGCCTGCTCTGCCCCTCCTGCACCCAGGGACGGACAGGGATGGACAGGGATGGATAGGGATGGACAGGGATGGACAGGGACACCCCAGGGACAGCCAGGGATGGACAGGGACAGCCAGGGACGGACAGGGACGGACAGGGATGGACAGGGACAGACAGGGACACCCCAGGGACAGCCAGGGATGGACAGGGATGGACAGGGACGGGCAGGGACACCCCAGGTCTGAGGCCCCTCTCAGCTGGGGCTCCTCTCCGGGCTGAGCAGCCCCAGCTCCCTCAGGCTCTCCTGGACACGGAGATGCTGCAGGCTCCGGATTTTTGAGCCTGCAGGAGATCAGTCCATGGCTCTGACCGCCTGTGAGGGGCATTGCTGAGTGTCACAGGGCATTGCTGAACCTGAGC